TTTGTTTGGTTCTTTGTTTAAAATTACTGTGTTTTTAATAGATATACTATGGTTTTTTTTGAGTTACAATGGTGAAAAACATGGGATGAGTTTTCATTGTGTTCTGTGAATCTGGTTTCCAAATTTCTTCCTGTTTCTCCGATGTAGAATTCTGGGCAGTTATTACATGTTATTTTGTAAATGACGTTGGTATTGTGTGATTCTAAATAATTTTTGTTTAGTACCGATTTTAATTTAGGGCCGGGTTTTTGAGAGAATTTAACAAAGAGTACATTCATTAGATACTCCCTATTTTTAACTTTTTCAAGAGTTAGATAAACTATTTAGACAGTGGCACAGATGCTTTCATGGAGAAACATTAAATGTACCCTACTTAGTCACTATGATGATATATCTTAAGTGTTCTGTCAACAGCAACTAGTATCCTTACCCTGGAATTATGTCTTCACTTTAAAACACGACATTACTTACATGGCCTAGAGCACATGGTGAAAGTATGTCACATTTGTAGCTTAAAATGCTCAGATCTCCAATTGGCACCTTTTCTACCTGCACCCTTCCATGAGACTGAAACAAAGGAAACCAGTAGTAACTGAAGTGTATCTACAAAAATAACTTTATTTTTTCAATGGTTGATAATATTCTTCAAACAGTTGAATACTTGAGTAAAATTGAAAAAAGTACATTTATAAACAATCAGCTATCTCCATTGGACATCTTGCCATGTAAATCATGTTATGATGACATTTAGGAACATGCGTGTTCCTTCTCCAGATTCTATGAGTATGTTTCTTGATGAATTGGTTAATTTCTTCTCTGTGTTAGTAGCTGATTAGAATCGATCTTCACACAGTAACCTATTCAACAAGTGTTTGATGGAGTATTCCTCTTTGTCCAAGATTAAAGTGGCATTAACTTTTTCTGTATTTTCACAGTTTCTTCATGTTTCTGATTGAATGTTATGATATCAGGGTAACATCCTCAAAACAGCTACTTTGTGTCACAAGATTTGGCTAAAATATGTTGAGAGTAAAAAAGGTCATAGACTATAAAAGATTCAAGAATTCATGAACAACCTGAATAGACAATCAATTCACAATGGAAGTAGAAAAAGATAAGAAACTTCCATTCCTTGACATGATGGTTACAAAGCTCACATACCAAAGGATATTATGGGAAACGCACAGATGTGGGTAAATATCTTGACTATGAACCCAAAAGACTGCATAGTTTAGAATGAACAAGATTTATAATATAGAAGATGCTAAGAAATACACATATCACTACAACCTCCATTAACAATGGATATAAAGAAGATAAATATCAAGAAGAAACAGGAATAAAATTACAGACTGCATAGTTTAGAATGAACAAGATTTATAATATAGAAGATGCTAAGAAATACACATATCACTACAACCTCCATTAACAATGGATATAAAGAAGATAAATATCAAGAAGAAACAGGAATAAAACTACAGGTACATCATCATATATTCCCATATGTCAAAAGTCACACAGTCAGAACAGTATTCAGAAGCCCCAACACAATCACAGTTAGTACACATAAAATCATCAACAAAAGTGTGATTTCAGGAGTGTAATAGACATACAAGACTTGGTAACACTGATCAACCTCCAGGGAATAAGAACATAGAATAAAATGTAATAATATTAATATAACACACTCAGTCAACCTGGCATACAAGTCAGTAATAGCTTGTTGAAAACATTCAAGTTTTAAAGGGGCAGAACTCTGTTGAGTACCAGACTTTTTATAAATAAGACCTGGGATTGAGTCCCAGCCACTTTCACAGAAACATTCCTTCTGAAGACTTCCTTGAGGTGGCAGCAGATTAGCAGCCAAAACATAAAATAAAGGCTAATTAGTTTATAGTTATAAAAAATACATATATAATAATAAAATAAAAATAATACAAATGCATATTAAAAATAAGTTACTAATTAACAACTAGATATAGGTGATCATATAACCATGATAACGACTGATATCTGTCACTACAACCTAACCATAAATACTTACTTACTTACTTAGTATGGATTATAAACCACAGAGATAAAGTTTAACTGACTGGAGTTATCCATACAGATCATGAAGATCCTAACCACTTGCTAACAGAGATCCAGTTAGATTAACTATCAAACTTATTAAATTTTGCCATTTAGCTTGTTAAACAGGCATCAGCCTCACATCAAAGTTTCAGATCAACTCCATTTATCAATAGATTTATCCCATACCTTTAGTTTTCCCCTTCCATGCTACTCTATAGTCCTTATGTTCTATATATTTTGTCCTACTACATACACCTGTAATCATTTGAACTGTCGTCTAGGTATCACAGATCTCTTGTAAAATATTCATGTTTCTAAGTATAGTTGCAGGAATATCACAAGTGGTAACTAGCTAAAGACACCCACAACTCTGGCAATGTGATCCATTTAATTAAACTACCTGAAATTAAAAACACCTGTAATAACTCTGGCAATGTGATCCATTTAATTAAACTACCTGAAACTAAAAACGCCTGTAATAACTCTGGGAATGTGATCCATTTAATTAAACTACCTGAAACTAAAAACACCTGTAACAACTCTGGCAATGTGATCCATTTAATTAAACTACCTGAAACTAAAAACAACTGTAACAACTCTGGCAATGTGATCCATTTAATTAAACTACCTGAAACTAAAAACACCTGTAACAACTCTGGCAATGTGATCCATTTAATTAAACTACCTGAAACTAAAAATACCTGTAACAACTCTGGCAATGTGATCCATTTAATTAAACTACCTGAAACTAAAAACGCCTTGTAACAACTCTGGCAATGTGATCCATTTAATTAAACTACCTGAAACTAAAAACACCTTGTAACAACTCTGGCAATGTGATCCATTTAACCCTATCACCATGGGTATCCTTTACTGCACATGACACAAAGGTTTTAGTATCTTATATTCAAACTTTTATTAAACTACTTTTTGTTTATGTTACACCAATTAGAATAGCATAAAATCTTAGCTAATAATCCATATTTTAATAGTATATAAGTTTTAAGTTATTAATTCTACAAGGCAATATTTAAAAAAAAATCCTGAATTTCTCCTAGTGTGACCCACGTGACACATTTTATCTTAGCATGTCATCTTCCCTATTTTATCCACCACCCCTCGAAAAAGTACAAAATTAAATGTAAATTACTCTCTATAAAATTGTCATTGCTCAGATAAACCATAATTTTTATAGTCTTCAATTATTTTTGGTCACAGAGCTATCAAATAGAAAATCAGACCCTTCTTGCCATACCTACCTGTCCCATCCTCTCTTTCAGAAATCATTGATAGTTCTCTCTTAAGTTTAATTATATATTACCTATAACCAGAAGAAAGTCAAGGTTTTCATCTATCAAATGATGTATTTCATAATGTTATGTTCTAGACAGTTAAATGCCAATTTCACTAGGAGTTCCAACATCGTTCCCGTGCAAAGGTTAACCACTAGCTTGGATGAATTTGTAACAGCTCTTGTTGCATAGTTAGAAAGACAGAAAATTTTTTAGAGGTAACAGAATTTGTCTACTTTTCACATGTTATTAGTCTATATTCTTTGGTGCATTATTTATTTAAATAAAAATCATTAACTGCATTACTACCATTAGTATAAAAAAATTTGGGTTATCTCTCTGACAACTGACAGCAAGAAAAAATAATATTAGTTAAGTATTTTATTTCTTGTTTTTCATGTTTATTCGTCATGCACAATTATAAAAGTAACTAAAATGTAAAAATAGGGTTCCTTTTAGGTTAGTTAAGATTATATTAGTCAAGAAAATAAATAATAATAATAATATTATAATACAAGTGTTTCACGAAACACACACATGAACAGTTCATACTAGCTCATAGGTAATGTGATTCATTAGCATAATGTGAGCTGCACGTTACCAGAGTGACTTATAATGCCGCAAATAGTAGTTAGACACAGTTCAAAGGGCAATAAAACAATAAAATTTAATTATAAATAGATGTATTCTGTTACGAGCTTAAAGCCACTTAGGATAAATGAATGTAGTTTCATGTTATTCTAGAAGAAAAAGTGTAATTTATTTATTTTATTTTTTTTGGTGGTTTATGAAGTCGGTCTATTTGACTAATCC